TACCCAACTTAAAGGGTCATCTGGTCCTAATGTTGTAATAAAATCACTTCCAATTCAGCATATATACAATAAAGAGAAAAACATATACAGAAAAAATAATAGTGTAAATCTGTATAATCATATATAACTATATAGTAGTCTTGAGAAGTGCCAACTCACATATTCCAGAGCCCAAATAAGGATAGGCTCAAATCACTTGCGCTTTTTGGTACCGTCTGGTGGTACTATCCCCTCTCTTTTTGAACACGTAGATAAATTACCTCAGAGATAAAACTTGCACAGGAGAAGGAAATATAGTGCAGTAACTTTAGATAAAGGTGAGTTTATTATATATAAATGAATGCTCACCTTGTTTTGAGCCCAATATTTGGCTCTAAATTATCAGCATAAGTGTCAAAATAAGGGAGACACCAACCCTTCTTAGAGCAGCTTCAATGAAGGTCAAAAGGAACTTAAATAAAAAATAATGATTTATTTTGCCCACTGGCAAGGAAATAAAAAGCATAAAAAATATGTATAAAATCAAAGAAAGAGTAAAAATGTCCCATAAATGTCCTTCTTTTCCGAGGGCGAAACGCGTCTCGGAAAAGGACATTTATGGGACATTTTTACTCTTTCTTTGATTTTATACATATTTTTTATGCTTTTTATTTCCTTGCCAGTGGGCAAAATAAATCATTATTTTTTATTTAAGTTCCTTTTGACCTTCATTGAAGCTGCTCTAAGAAGGGTTGGTGTCTCCCTTATTTTGACACTTATGCTAATAATTTAGAGCCAAATATTGGGCTCAAAACAAGGTGAGCATTCATTTATATATAATTGGGCCAAGGAGATCAGAATAGTCAGACAAGCCAAGATAGTTAACCAGAAAGTGACAGATTATCAGAAACACTCTACTAGGATCACAAGGAAACCAAAACAAGGCACTGAGCAAATGGAAAGCTCAAGTATTTATAGACCTGGGTTTTTTCCTTGATAGCATACACCAAAATATGAGTGATTGTTGACAATAACAGGAGGACACCACAAAGTGTTTGAGGTTTGATGACAAAGGTATGCGGTCATCAAAGTAGTCTGGTGTCCAAAATGCTGGCAAAGGTGAGGGTGTGAAACTGATATGGTGCTCACTTAAGGACACAGAGGTACCAGGTGTGTGGCGTAGCACAAGGATATGTATCTTCACAAAACTATGATCATGGATTACTTTTTCCATGATGCTCAGTTGGGCTTTTACTGACTGAGCAAAATATGAAATTGCAACCACAAACCTCTATTCTATGGATAATCATCATTACACATATATGACACAACACTACACTAAGTAAAATTGATAACAGAAGGAGGAGCATAAACATAAAAACTTGATTGGAGTTATTAAAACATGAAGTCTAAATGAAGGGTGTCAAATATAAAACCCATGTGCAGGATACATAATCCTTAGTATCCAGCCTGCAGACCTCCACTGCAGTGAGAAATGAGAAATCATAGCAATATAATTCACACATTTACCACTACAGGCAGAGGCGGCTCTCTAATTAGGCGGTTTAGGCGGCCGCCTAAGGCCTCGCGCCGGCTGGGGCCTCGCGGCCGCCTAAACCGCCTGTGGGCAATCTGTGTCAGGTCCTCGGTCAGTGACCGAGGACCTGACACCAGGAGGGGGCCCGGCGGCTTGCCCGGTATGCCGCCGGGTGCGAGGCCCCTCCTGGTGAGAGACCACCTGCAACCCCTGGTCTGCAGCTCCGCGCAGTGTGCAGAGCTGCAGACCAAGTGTCTGGCGAGATCTGGCCAATCAGAGCGTTGCCGCGGGTTACCACGGCAACGCTCTGACCGGGTCTCGCGAGACTCTTGGTCTGCAGCTCTGCACACTGCGCGGAGCTGCAGACCAGAAATCACCACCGGACCACCAGGGAAAGAAGAAGCCACCGGACCACCAGGGAAAGAAGCCACCGGACCACCAGGGAAAGAAGCCACCGGACCACCAGGGAAAGAAGAAGCCACCGGACCACCAGGGAAAGAAGAAGCCACTGGACCACCAGGGAAAGAAGAAGCCACTGGACCACCAGGGAAAGCAGGTATTTAGTACCCCCCTCCATTATACCCCCCTCCCAGTAGCCCCCCTCCATTATACCCCCCTCCCAGTTACCCCCCTCCATTGTAGCCCCCCTCCATTATACCCCCTCCCAGTAACCCCCCTCCATTATGTCCCCCTCCCAGTAGCCCCCC